TTGTTCATTGTTGTGGTCCCAACTGGCTGCCAAAACAAAGGCATCTGTTTGAGTTGATTAATTAGGTATATCTACAGAAATTAAAAAACAGGAGTTATCCAAACTGACATATTATATAGGTGCAAAATATTGAATGTAGCTCTGACTGGCTATTTCTAGCACAAGTATATCAGACTATATTTAATGTATCTTTGTGATCGGATAATCCTAGTTATATAATACTATGTTAATATTGGTTAATCCTAATTATATGATACTACTATTATATATTTAGCAAGTTGTAACTTTAATTAGATTGTTGTTTTTATATGAAATTGACATTTCTCCCTGGACATATTTTGATTTGATACTTTATACAAAAATATACTTGAGTGGATAGCAAGGTTTGTGTCAGGCTCTATTTGTAAAATAGAGAGAGCAAGATGCAGAAACAAAAATGGGATACAATTGTAAAAACATTCAACAATTACATATTGGACGAGGATGAGCATGATATCAAGAATTATCCAGACCTCAACCTTTGGCTTCGGCAGATAACATTGACCGGTCTTGATGTCATGCGAAACCCAAATTCAATAATTGTTTTAATATGCAATTATGATGATGTTATAATGGCAGGAAAGAAAACCTTGTCAGGTGTCTCATTAAAAAATCATGTCACCAACAGGCAATTTTCAATGTTGTTTTAGGTGGATAAACATTGAGGATTGTCTGTAGTTCTTAGCCAATCACAATTGATTCTTTTGAGATTGCATTAACATTGAATAATCCAAATACTTCAAATACATTCATTTCTTAAAAGGTTCAGTGGTGGATCCGGCAAGATTTCTCTAGGGGGGGGGGGGGTGCTGGGCGAGCAGCCAAGCATACCGAACCTAGCTTACTGGCCAACAGTGTACTGATACAACATTGATTAAACATAATTTTATAATTATATATTCTCCAATTCTGGTCATACTGTTGTGTGAAAGAGAAACTTCATGAACTTATTAGTACTTTGAACTATAGTGCTAGATGCTGCCTTGAATTCCAAAATTTAATTTAATCTAAGACTATTTCTAGATTAGATATATCACTACGAAAATATGTAGATTGAGAGAGACTACTCAGTATTATAAACTAAGAACAAACCTGTGTCAACTGTTGATATGTGAAGCCTTTTTCGACCAGGTTCACTTTGGCGTTTGGACACTTCAGAGCACACTAATTTATTTCTTGTCATCCTTTTGGGGCGTACTTGCCATTGGATAACATCCATCTTCTTCATCTAGATATAAAGTATTTAATATAGGATACACTGCTTAGAATCTTCAATCTAAATATTAAAGGATAAGTGTCACACCACAATACAGGCGGCCATTTTATGGGCCGACTACAACCAAACGTCTTTTGTATCAATCCGTCGTATATTTAAGCCATCCTTTGTGAATCCTTGCTGCTTTTATATAATTCTTACTGGCAATGTACCATATATGATATTTTAAACTTTATTTGTTGATTTTGGGAGAGATAAAAACAATAACAAATCTATGATACTATGACGTATTCTGTCGCTATACAGATATGTAAAACATGCCGTTAATACCGGCAAATGCGACATAAATATTGTATAAAACTCATTCAATGCAACTTACCCTCGATACTTAAATTGTAAAGGGAAACTTCTAAAATGTCCACATCGCTGCTTTCCGAGTCGTTTTCTTGCCTTATTTCAGCCATACCCGAGAACCGCAGAATCGACCAGAGAAACGCGCATTATATGGCAGAGTCTTGATTACATTTTGTCAACCATCGATCTCACCCCCCCGTCGCGCACCACTAAATATCCTTTACTATCCCTACAAATCCTAAATAATTCAGACTCTGCGGAGGAGAGTGTCGAGAAACAGTCATTAAGATAAAACAGGTCGAGAATAGTTGAATAAAAAAAAAGTGGCCGAGAATCAGTCATTAAGATAAAACATGTCGAGAATCGGTCATTAAGATAAAACATGTCGAGAAACAGTTGAATAAAAAAAGGTGGTCGAGAATTATATTTGGAAAAAAGGCATAGAGAATCAGTTCTCAAAAAACCGAGAATCAATAAATCTAAAATAGCTAAAATAACAAAGTGAGGGATTCTGGTGGATGTTTTTTATAATATGATGCAACAATAAAAATCTTTGCATTGAGCATATTGTCATGTTTTGAATGTTTACTGACATTGCTGTAAACGGTTTAGTTTGTTTATGAAGATGGTTAATGGCCTTACTTTCTATTCGTACGTGTTTTTAACAGCATTTTGTATTCATATCGTTGCTGTTCTGGGAAATAATGATGAAGATTTAAGAGATTACTTTTTGTCGTTCCTAAGTGTTACTGAGCGTACAGAGCAGTATCTTTCACTAAGGTTGCTTGATCTTTTGGAATACTATCAGCGTCATTTAGAAGGTCATCTCCGCATTATTGTTGCATTTATTCAAGTTCTAGATGAACCTAATAATCAGGCAGGTGAAATATTTATGGAGAGCTTGCAGCAGTTAGTGTCCATAGTAAGTGGGCAGTTGAGAAGAATAGAGGACCTGTCAGCATTCGAAGAAAGCTCCAGAAACATTAACACACATGTTCCACTATTACTACAAACTGACGGCAGGCCAAAGTATTTTATACCCAAGGAACAAAGTGAACGACTTCACTCGTATGGACTGGCGTGGACGGATATTGCAAATATCCTTCATGTAAGTGAACGAAAACTGTATAGGAGGAGACAAGAGTATGGGATTCTTGGGAAATACTCCAGAATATCAGACTCTGAATTAGATAGTGTAATTATAAACATACTTAATAGTACACCAAATGCTGGTGAAAAATTAGTAATTGGTAGTTTAAGAAGTCGAAATATACATTTGCAAAGATGGCGTATAAGGGATAGGTTAAATGTGCTTGATCCTATAGGAAGGGCAGTTAGAAGAAATAATGCCATACATCGCCGTACATACAATGTACAGGAAGCGAATCACTTATGGCATATTGATACCAATCACAAGTTGATTTCATGGCGTTTTGTGATTTTTGGATGTGTGCACATGGCAGCTACTTCACTGGAATTTTTTCAAAATGGTGTTCGAAAATTTGGGTTACCGTTACGTGTGCGGGGAGACCATGGTGTGGAAAGCTATGATGTAGCTTGCTATATGATATCTTCACGTGTCAAAGAATAGAGAGGTTGGGGGGCGATGTCAATAGGGTTGTAACAAGGTATTATTCCGACCTGTTTAAGTTTCTTGAAGCACAAAACCTATTAGATTCAAGAGACGAAATGCACCTTTTTGCATTGCATCTAGTCTTTCTCCCAAGAATTAACAAATCTTTGCTTGAATTATATAACCAGTTGAGTTACAGGGGAATGAGAACATCACAGGACAAATGCCCGCTTGGATTATGGGAAACTAGTATGATGACATTTGAACCTAATTTTGAGGTATTTCCAGAGCAATATGGTATTGACACTTTTGGTCCAGTACCAATAGATGATTTTGATGATGGTGGAATTATCGTTCCAGAAATACAACATAAAATATCGAACGAGCAATTTATTCGTTTGCAAGCTGTTGACTTTCTGGCTGAAGATGGTAATCATGGTGTCAATCACTTTGCCAGGTTTTGAACATAATTGAAACAATGTTTTGAGAGAATCAAAAGTTTAGTCAACTTTTAACAAACAACATTTTATTGCAACTTTTAATATTTTGTTCCTTTTCGGTTTACATTTTTGATATACACAGGGCGTATAAAGAAATCGACATTGTTTTAAGGACAAAAGATTTTAGGTGCCTGGGAATTTAAAATAGCACAACTGTCAAAATTTTTATGATTCAGAATTGCAATTGCAAAGTGCATTTCTTAGGAAATTCAGAGGTTGCGTGTTTTTTTTATATATCCTGTATATACGTAAAGGTGTTCTATACAGATAATCAATAGTTATCTTATCTAGTGTATATTTATAGTTTTTCTGCGTCAAAAGATTGCAAAAAGTACTTGACTACCTGGGCAATATACACAACAGGAAATTCAACAAAGTAAACTATCCATAAATACGAACGTATTATTATATGTTTACAGTAAAATTTTCTATTAAAAGTTCAATGGCAACTGACTGTTCGCTGATTCAGAAGTATTAAAAGTGCACCTCACACAATTTTTTAAAAACCAAATTCAATAGATTCATAATTTTTTGATTTGGATAAATACTCTACCCACTATATCCTCTGTTAAAGTCCGCTTTTATTTGGTCAACAGCCGCATTAAAGGGCAGTTGGGAGATTCGAGCATGTGACGTGAATTCCGGACATTCAAATTCTAGATTATCTTGCAATACACTTGGTTTTTGTTGACACGACAACATTCTTGTTGGATTACCTCTCGAATTTTCGCTAATATATCGCAAAGTTATTCTAAAATCCAAAATGTTTATAAAATCATAATCTATTGAATATGTTCAGAAAATAAAATGGTGTCAGGTGCACTTTAACGTTATCTAATAAAGCACTAATACCCTTGTCTGGTAAACAATAGAAAGGTAAAAAAAAACACAACATTATCTCTAACATATGAAATATAGAAAACTTTAAGTTTAACTAAAATTTAAACATCCTTTAACAAATAACGTTAATTTGCATTATAAATGCATTAATAAAAATCCAGACAATCAAGCACATACATGTAAATTGTCATGCATGTGGACATGAGTGCAGCAAAAGCAGCATTTATACAATATGTTCAAATCTTCAATAATAACCAAAACCTTTGGCGTTCATTATTCCATAAGCCATTGCGTTCTTGAAGTCATTATATTTGGAATGCACAGTAGGAAGGTAGAGCTTTAAAGCACATGTATTTGCCTTGGGGAACTTGGACTTGTTACCATCTGCCTCCAAATCATGAAGAAATGCAATCATAGCGACAATAAGCGAGAAACCAATTGGAGGAACACATGGACAACCTGTCGCAAAGCTCAAAACCATCTCTAATGTAAGTTCACTCTCCCCCTCTTCAATGTCTATTAGCAAATCATTTCAAAACGAAAGCAATAAATTTTCATCTTCAAATTTATTACTTCCAGGAAGACTGCGTTTCACTTGAAAAAGGTTAGTAACCTCATCAGCAGTAAGCTTCTTATGCTTGTATATAAACAGAGGCTCTAATACTTTGGGATATGTCTCAATCTGTTCTAATATTCCCAATGTTTTCATTCCTTCTTTCAGTGCTTCGAGTACAGATCGTGTCTTCCCAAAAAGAAACCAGTTAATTGTTTGATTGACAAGTTTGTCTCGGTCTTCCAGGTTTCTGATTTGTCTAAGGATCCCAGCAAACTCAAATAAGCTTGAATGCTCAGAGAGAATGTCATTGATTCTGTTGACATCTTGTGAATTCAAGAAGATTTTTAAGCTCCAAATCATATATATCATCCATCATCCCCTTTGCTTATTTGGATTTTCAATCAGGCTTTCAAAAACTTGTGGTGCCAAAAACTGTGGGGGTGGGCCTCCATGCACAAGGGTCATGGCTAATACTTGACCAGCTAAAAAATAATTCCCATCTTCCATATTCTGGGCAAGACATGTTAAAAATTTGCTGTGGTTTTTACCAATAAACAAAGGGAAATTTCTTAAATGCTCCAAGATAAGGGTTAAAAATTCCCTCCTAGGGCCACCCGCATCAATTGCCCCCTCTGGTTGGCCAATATCATCCATGAATTTAACTGAAATTTTCTTAGTGGGAGAAAAAGATTTTCGGTTAAACCCTCTGACAGCAGTTTCCCAAAAATTACTTCGAGATATGTTAAACTTTGAAATTTCATCAAAATTGATAATTCTTGCCAACCTTCTTAAAATTTCTTCAGATGTGGGTTGGGGATCAATTTCCTCCGATTCATGTTCAGGAACAACCTCTATCTCATCTAAATCACTAAAAAT